ATGACAATATTCCTGAAATCATGCCAGAGACATTGCAGTTTGTTGATCTATTGGAAAGGTCATGGAGATGAGCTACCAGAATCACTTGTTGGTGACAAAAATATTGCTGTGCAGTGAAACAGGTACTGTGGAATTTGCTCCCAGCTTATTACACATGGAACGTGAAAATTCCTGATATAGAGGGCTTAATATCATATGCTGGTCCAAATCAGTGAAATTCAAACAGGAAATGAGGTTTTAAGAGTTGGAGAAGTTTGCTGAGGGAAGTTATCTTCATTGTTGTAAGCCAGTGCTTGATATCTCTTAACTGCTTGTTTAAAACACAATTTATCTCTACATTTTGGATTCATCAAAAAAATTTATAGATTGATTTGGTAGGAATTCAGACAACAGTGCCTCTTCTAATCCCAACATCAGCATTTGTGTTTAGGCTTTTTAGAAATTAGTTTAAGTGACGTCAGAAGAGGCCAGGCATGAGCACGAGGTGCGTGGATGCTGCTGCTCTCCTCACCTGCCTCCCGTCCCGGGGCAGAAAGGTGCTGAGCTCTCAGCCAGTGCTACAAGCTCCCACAAGCAGCAGCCCCATGGACGTCCCCAAAGGCAATCCCACGTGTGAGAATTGCGTCTCACAGCCTGAACTGCCTCTCGGTTTCTCCCCATGATGCAAACCGCTGTCTGTGTGATCCAGCCTCACACAGGGGGTGCCCAGACTTGCCAAGCCACTCACACCTCGGAGCCCAGCTGGCTTTTGCAGTCTCGGGAAGAGCTGCAGGTGTGAAGCCTCCCTTGCTCTGCCAGACTGCTGCTGGTAACTTGAGAAGGCACTGGCCAACTCCAGCCACATCAGAGAGAGAGAGGCAGGAAACTTAGAAGTCATTTACAAAAATATTTGTAATTCAAACAATCGTAAATGGTGGTTGTGTAAATGCTGGGGACCCAAATTAATGTCAGCAGAAATTGTCTATTCTGCCTCGTGTACAGACCTCAAGAGAGAAGACAAATGATTGAGAAGAGTCTTGGGCTGTTTGTCTGCCAAACTCTACTTCACTGAACATTAATTATTGACCTAAAGCAGTAATGCTGGATGAAATAAGGACTACATCCCAACTCAGGGTACAGCTTAGAAATTTATTCTTGAATGGCTTGTGTTTGGGTTATTTCAGGCACTACAGGCAACTGATTTGAGGTCTTTAATGCCTTGGGTGAACTTTACAACTAGACTATACTTTTATATATATATGGTATAAATAAATACATTCTCCCTCTACAAGAGTCAGCAAGCTTTTACCATTTTGCTGATTCAAGACCATTTTTGGATATACAGTGTCAAAGATTAGACAAATTAGATGCTGTCATTATTAAGAGAGTTTTTAGGGCAAAAAGATAATTCTCCTGTCTCACATTACATGCTTCTCAATTCTTTTATGAGAAAATTATCTTTTTAGATAGCTGATGTATTCATATTCTTAGTCTTCAAAATTCTGTAAACTCTGTAGTGCATTATTACTTGAATATGCCAAATAATTATTTAAAGGCCTACTCATAGATAGTCTTCAGTAAAATTAAGGCTTTGAGAAGAGCCAGAGAGGCCCACCAACTGCATTCATGAGATGGGCACTGTGAGGATTTACATTTAAGACTGGGCATTGTGAGGATTTCCATTTAAGACACTCTGTGGATTTTTACTACTTTTGCAGTAAAACAATTGTAATGACACTGAAATTCAGAAAGTCATCTCCTCAGCTTTCATCTTTTCTTTAAGAACAGGAATGATTTAATAGGAATTAATTAATATCTCATTACAAGTTTGTAGTCACCTAAAGGCCATATAGATGTGAATGGTCTCTTCTGATAGCAAACCAGCTTTAGCTCAAGTTGGTAGTAAGAATATTCACATTAGGGTGGCTTCCAGTAAGACTGTAGCATCCCCATTGTAATGTATAATGCTGCCCTTCCAGGCTCAGGATTGACAACCTTTCATAAATGATACTTTTTATGTCAAATATCTTTTACAAGAAATTACTGAGTCTACACAAGCCTGCACAAAATTCTTCCCTTCCCCCTTATTATTTCTCCTCAATGCTATAGTGTTTTTAGAGGATCAGGAGGTTTAGAGCTGAAAGTGATTGTTTGTTTTTGAAAGTTCTGGACACCTGGAGATTGTGAAAATAATCATTCCTGGCTTACATTCATTTTTAGTTTCTAGGATACAAACAGAATTTAAAATAAGCTAATCCCTTCACCTGGTTTAAACTGCCAGTGCTTCATGCAGCAACATGAGTTTACAACAGCTAAGGATACATCCCAGTTATTTTTAATCCTTTCACGTCAAAATTGCCTTATCCCAATTTGCTTTTAAAGCATCCTCGGAGTAAACCCTATTTACCCAGCCCATATTTATCTTGAGTGCACTTGTACGAAACAACCCTAAGCACCCAAAAAGGCCACGTTTGTAATGAAAACACCTCCAGACAGACTGAACCCCCGAGGGGAGGCCACCCAGGAATGGATTGGACAGCTCCTGACTGGGGCTGAACCGATGGGAGCGGGAGAGGCTCGGTGCTGCTGCTCCCCTTCAGCCACGCTCAGCCTCGCCTCAGCCAAGGAACCAGCCTGGCTGAGGGCTCAGGGGAATGGGGGCTCTGCAAAGGCTCAGCCTTCCCTGTTGGGGTAAAAATATAAACTGAAAAATCTGGGGAAAATGGGACCTGCTTGTGAGAGTGGGACACGCTGGAGGAGGGGAGTAGAATAAAGAGAGATCGAAGTAGGAACAGAGAGGCAGGGAAAGGGATAGAAAGGGAGTTAGGAGGGAGAAGAAAGGCAAAAAGAAGCATAAAGAGCTGGAAAAGTAAGGAAAATAGAGAAGAAATGGAGTGAGAAAGGCCAACAGGCCTTTCCTGTTGGAACAAAAGTATAAACTGAAAAATGCTGGAAAAACGGGACCTACTTGTGAGAACGGGACACGCTGGAGGACCCGAGTAGAATAAAGGGCACAGAGAGATGGAAGTAGGAACAGGCAGGCAGGGAAAGGTATAGAAAGGGAGTTAGGAGGGAGAAGAAAGGCAAAAGAAGCATAAAGAACTGGAAAAGTAAGGAAAAGAGAGAAGGAGTGAGAGAAGAAGGGAAGGAAATACTGCATGTGTTTTAGTGATGTCCTCCTCTCACAGAGGATGGAGGTGCCCAAAGAAACCACCATTAGTGGTCAGGCCTTGATTTGTGCTGAATTTCAGTGGTGTGCTTATAGAAATAGGTGCTCACTGAGACCATGAGAGCATGCCTGGCATTTGTGCCGGAAGGAGCCAGTGGGGCACAGCTCCTGGAATGGGGCTCTCTGCTCCCAGTGCTCCTTCTTCTCAGTGTCTTCCCATGGATCTTTGGTGGAGCAGCCCTGCTGAAGAAGAGAGCTGTTTTCCTCTTGTGCCCCTGGCTGCCATGGGAGCTGGGAGGGCTTCAGCAGAGGCAGAGACTGCTTGTGGCAAGGAGAGGAGACCCACAGGAGAACAGGAATTCAAAGGAGTTCTGGGCTTCCAGTAGGGGAGGGGAGAACCACAGAACAGGAATTCAAAGGAGTTCTGGGCTTCCAGTAGGAATTGGGATTGGTCCCATTCTTACTCAGACTGTGGGGTACTTTTGATGCTGCTCTGCCCCAGACAAGATGAGCACAGCCTGCATGTCCCCACATGGCCATGCCCACAGCTCTGCCAGGTGTCAGCAGAGGCTGGGCTGGGGACTACAGGTGGTTTCTGTTCACAGAGGCAGCAGGGACAACACTGGATCTGGGTCTGCTGCTGGCCAGGGAGCAGAGTGAACATGGGCACTGGTCAGTGCTGGTTCCAGTGGCTGTGGGCTACCACTGCCCCACTGTGGGATGTGCTCTGACCCGCTGTGGAATGCCCCCATCCTGCTGCAGGTTGTCCTCAATACCTGCTGTGTCCTGCCCCCAACTTGCTGAATGATGTCCCCAGTATGCTGTGGGATGTTTCCCTCCTAAACTGCCGTTGGATGCCTCCCTGCTCCCTCATCTGCTGTGGGATGTCCATAACCAGCCTTGGGATGAACCCCTAGACCTGCTGTGGGATATCCTCATACCTGCTAGAGGGTGAACCCCAGCCATCCCTGGGACCACCCCACCACGCCAGCTGTGGAAAATCCTTCAGCCACGCTGTGGGATTTTCCGCCAGCACTGGGATGTTCCCCCAAAACCTCTGTGGGATGTTACCCCCTAACCCAGGCCCCCCCAGAGCTGATGTCCCCAGCATGCTGTGGGGTGTTCCCCCATCCCGGCGCTGCCCCCCCCGCCCGCAGCCGCGCTCCTGGGCGCGGTGTGTGCGCGCGGCGCCCGCGGCCGCGGCGCTGAGCCCGGCTCCGCTGCGCCGCACCGCGCCCGCGGGGAGCGCCGGGGCCGCGGCACCGCACCATGCGGAGCGTGCGCGGAGCCCCGCCGGCGCCGCTGATGCCGCTGGCGCTGCTGGTGCTGCTGCTGGCCGCGGGGCACGGAGCCGTCATCACCGGGGTGAGCGCCGCCGCTCGGCACCGACGGCACCGACGGCACCCGCGCCGGCAGGGACCGAGGGAGGGAGGGAGGGAAGGACAGAGGGCTCCGCCGCGGCGGCGGGGACGGGAGTCGGGGTTTGTTCGCGGGGAGCGATAGCGGGAACTGCCCGGGATAAGGGGTGCCCTGCTGAGAGGGCAGCGCTCTGCCGTGCGGGGTGCCCGGGGACAGCGGAGCTCTCTGCCGCGCGGTGTGCCCGGAGAGGGGAGCGCTCTGTCCTGCGGGGTGCCGCTCTCTGGGTGAGCACTGCCGAGACTCGGGGTCTGTCCGCACTCAGCCATGCCAGGACGGAGCGGTGCCGAGTGCGGTGACAGACGGCCAGAGTCGGGATAAGTGATAACGAGGACGTGGCAGGGAAAGCAGCGCCAGGTGATGAGAGGTGACAGGGCTTGGGGGCCCGTCTGGGATAGGTGATACTGGAGGTGGCATCTCTAGGGGATGAGGGACGCCCGGAGCTGCGGGTGGGTCTGGATTCAGTGGTATCAGAGCCTGGGGGTCTCTCTCTCTGCGGTGAGTGATGCCAGGATGTGCCAGTCTCTGCCGTGGGCAATGCCAGGACTCGTGGGTCTCAGAGGTGAGGGGATGCTACAATGTGGGGTCTGTTCCTTTGGGGTGAGAGATGTCTTCGGGAGTGTCTCCAGGCTGGTCCGAGATCGTGCAGAGATTCCTGCTGCTTTGTCAGGGCTGGAGCTGTCTCCCATCTCCCTGCATGCAGCTCCAGCTGTCCCCAAACCTGCTCTGAGAGGGTCTGGCTCAGGGCATTGCACAGCCCACCATGCTCCCCAAGTTTCTCCAGCCCCTCCGTGTACAGGGCAGGATTACAATCCTCAGAAAACTCTGTTTTCCTTCTTTTATTTTCTTTGTCTATGACTGTGTTGCTTTTCCCCCTCAATAGCCACCCCTTGCAAACAAGTCTCTGTTGTTGTTGTTTTTAGGCTCAAGATTTACTCTGGTTGTGAAAATACTTTTTTTTCCTAAAGACGTTATTTAACCCAAAGCATTGCATCACTTGTTAGTTAAACGATTTTTTAAGTGTTTGCTTTGGATTAATAACTCAGCATTTGCATTCCTTTGAGAGCTCACATGTCTTTTATAACCATCAGAAGTTGCACTCACAGCAGTGGATTTCTCTGTGGCTGTCCAGGCTCCCTGTCCAGACCCCTGAAGTCCATGAAACAGCTTGTGGGCATTTCTCTGGAAGTCAGATCAGTTCCCAGGACTGATTATTTTTTTTTTTTAGAGCAGAGAATGTGAAGGAATTTTTTAATAATTGAGGATTTCAAGTTTCTTCTAAGTAGAAACATTCCCAGCAACAGAGGAGGAGTTTATCTGCTATTAGAGTTGTGGCTACACCTTTAAAGCATAATTAATCCATTAATTAATCCATTAAATAAAGTAATTGTGAGACACTGAATAATAGATCAAGGACAAGGCAGATTCAAAAAAGTAAAAATAGATTAAAACTAGAAAATGTTACTTTATTAACTATTGCTGAGCATTTCTGCTTAAACCACTTTGATGCATTTTTGGCTTTTAATGAACAGGCAAATCTCAGATGAGAGCTGATGTAGGGGTTCCCCAACCCCTGAGCCTGAAAGGTGTTTTTCCTTTGCAATTTAAGGACTTTTTTCAAACTTTCCTCAATTCAGTGGTGGTTCTTGTGCTGAAACCTGTTGCCTTTGCAGCTGGCATTTCACCTGGGACATATTCTTGGGCTGATTTTCAAGAAAACTATGTTTAAATGAGGTGCTCATGTGGTGTTTGGGGAAGTTTAGGAGTAGCAGCAGGAATTACACATTGCAGATAAGGTGTGGGCAGGAACACTTGGGTTGAATATTTTCAAAACTTGTCACACATTTTTGGAAAGGGAGCCTTAAAAATTCTGCCAGATGTAAATATGTGTGTGTGAGGTCAGGAAAGAAATTGTTCAGCCTGGGCATTCAAGACTCTTGTTTGCTAGAACATACCCAGGTGGGTTTTTCAACTGAGTGGTATTTCACCCCAGGACCAGTCCCACAGAGATGAATGGAGTTTGAGATATATAACAGAGAACAAAAGGGAGTCAGGAGCTGGCAGGTGAGAAATGGCTGAGCAGTGTGCTGGGGGCAGCCAAAACCACAGGACCTGCATTTTTATTTGTGACTATGGTAAAATAATATAATTAGAATGCTTTTAAAATTATTATATATATATATATATATTTAAGAGAGCGGTCAGAAAGTAAGTATTACCTACCTGTCAGGCTGGAGTGGTAGTTTTATGGCCATATTAGTCTTATAAGCAAATGCTCTGTGTTTGGGCTCACCTGCAGCACAGAGCTCTGTGTTTAGGAGCTGTTTGGGTCACACACATTATTTAATAATGATCCTAATGCAACAGCTTCTTCCTAAACTACTGACTGAGCTTTAAATTTGCATTTTGATCTGGCTTCTGCTGGTCACTGCAATATTTACCCAGTGAGTACAGTCTAAAGCCATTTATCATGTAAATCCCAAGGTAAGATCAGTGAGTTTTTCCCTCAAGAGCATGTTTACTCTGGGAATGTGCCTTCCCCAGAGCTGTTATCAACATTTACGTATGTTTTTATGAGTTTCCCATTTACGTAGTGCTGACCAGTGCCTTCCATCTCTCACTGCTGCTGCCAGACACCCAGAGCAGTGAGTTAATCAATTTGGGATGTAAGCAGGACTTTTAACTGACGGCATTTCTCACTGGAGGAAGGAGACTGGCTTTTGCATTAAATCTATATAAGCTTTTGATTAAAAAGTCACTGAAAGATGTACAGTAGCTTGTTTTCAAACCCTCATGTGTCAATTGCTCTTCATGGTTTGTGGGTTTTAAAACAGACCCACTAGTTTGCATTTTGGTTTTTGCTTATCTAAGCTGTATTGGTAAGTGGCTAAAAAATTTTTTTTTTGCCTCCCGTGAAGGAGAATGCTACCACAGCAGCATTTTTTTGGATGTGAACACTTATGCAAAGCTTTTCTTAAGACCACTTTCAGCTATGTGTAATTCTAGATAACAACCACAGAATCCACATTTAAACTTCTGTTTTAGCTACTTCCACTTGGACTTCTCTAACAAAACTCTCATGCAGTCTTGCAAGGGCACTCACAACCATGATATCATCATACAAAGTTAGAAGGAATAGTTACCTGAAAGTCATTCAATTAATGGATGATTTCCTATCTCAGCTTCTCCATAAGACTGGTTTGGTGACAAGTTTAATGTGGTTGGTCCTTGCTCCTGCCTGAGCTCACTCAGGCACCGATCTGGGAGCCAGGAAAGCGTGTGGCACATGCCATGGTCTACCAGTGCTCAGAAGTTTGGACTGTAAATCACTGACAGTCCTGGGTTTGGCCCAGAGCAGCTCTGTGTGTGGTCCTGGCTTTAAACAACCTGGTCTCAACTCCAAAATGTGCCAGGAGCCTGCACGTTCCAATCCATGGGAGACACAAGTATTGCAAATCAGCCTTAAATCTTATTATTCAGCCTTAATGAGCCATGATAACTTAGGGGTGCCAGAGGCAGCTCCTGAGCACCTGATCTATCCTATTTCTGGATTCCATTTATTATTCATGTAATTTGCTTAATGCTGTGTTGAACTCCAGGCCTGCGACCGAGACCAGCAGTGCGGGGGCGGGATGTGCTGCGCCGTCAGCCTCTGGATCCGCAGCCTGAGGATGTGCACCCCCATGGGAAACCTGGGAGACGAGTGCCACCCCTTGAGTCACAGAGTGAGTACCTCACCAGGGGGGCTGGGGGGGCTGCAGGAATTTCCTGAGCCGTACATCACATGGTATAAAGCCTAGACGTGGTGGAAAGGCAGGGAAGCTTCCCATTCCTTACAATATCCAGCCACCTGCATCTGTATGGGAACAGAGATGGAGGTACCTACGTAAGGAAGTGCATTACTGTCAGAATTATGCTGAAGAGAATCAGAGGATGAAAGCACTACACGCTTGCCAGATTGTTTTCTTATTAGTTTGTTGTTGCTGCTTTGTTTTGTTGTGTGATCCCAAACAGCGCTGGCAGTTCCCAAGCCCAGCCCTGCCAATCCCTCCTGTGTGAGCAGGAGCACAGCAAGTGCCACCAGCCCCAGTGGCAGTGGATGAGATCCTGTCACAAGCACAAAAATGTCACCAGTTGGTGTTGGGGCACCTGGTGTGTTGAGAAAATGTTGACACACATTTGGACTTGAGAAAAGTGCCCACAGGCTCTCTTTGTTTCTGTTCTACCTATTACTTTTAAATATCTGTGTATATATACATATATACACACACACTGTATTATTAATACAATGATTTTAACAAGTGTATTTATTTAAGGCTATGTAATTGTGTATTTGTTATGCAGTATGAAAAAAGCTGCTTATTTAAAACACGAAAGACTGAATGGCATGTTACCAGGGAGCTTGAGAACCTGATGATCTTCAGAGTCATCCTCAGGGAAGAACACAGCCCAAGAGTCATCACAAGTGGAAGATATAAGGCAATAAATCCAGACCATAAATGTGCAGCTAGTTAGCTGCCTCTCTCACTGTTTCCCCCAAGGCCTGGCTTCTCAGTTTATTGTCTCAGCTTTAGGAAGTTTAAGGCTCTATTTTACTGCACTTAAATTTTTAAAACTTCTGCTGTGATATTGGGGACCAAATGGACATTTTTACTGCGTAATGTAGTAGGTTCTTCTTGCAAGGCTCTTTCTATTACCAGGAATTAGGATAAGAGAAATTGTCTTCTAGAGGGTTTTATGAGCTTATTGTTATTGGGCAATAATTTAAACTGTCTGATATATTTCAAGCTGATTGCCTGTGTAATTACAATCAGAGTAGATGCCTGTCCACCCCAGACACTAAGTCACTGATGTTTATAAGCTTTATGAAGTTAATTTTAATTTCTCCACTGATCTTCCTGAGAAACACAAAGCAAATTGATTTACTGGAGAACGTGAAATGAGGTTATTTTGAAGATGAAGGGTTAGCTCAGTGGTTCCTTTCTTGTAAATACTAGTGTAGGGAGCAGCTGCCCTGATCACCAAAACTTTTCATTTACCAGCAGGATAGGTCAAAAGCAGGCACCACCATGGCCATGGCACCTCGGGGACATCCAGAGGAGCCAGGAGATAACTGGAGGAGATGGCTGGCAGCTGGGGTTCCACCTTCTAGTTTCCTCCTCAACAACTAGACAGTGATGGACTGATGCCATTAGCAGTCCCAGCTGGAATTTCGAGGCTGGGTCTGAGGCAGGGCCAGGCAGGGTTTGCAGGCAGGTGAGGTTTGGCAGCATGGGGAATGAAAGGAACATTTCCTTGAAGCAATGGAATGTTTAGAATAAATCACCTGAGCTGTCAGAAGGCTGAGAGCTCAGGTTTTGGGTTTGGCTGCAGTGCTGGGTGTGGGCACCCAAAGGGGTGATTCCCATGGGGTGTCCCCAGAGAGGCTGGTGCCTCTCTGCTCACACTGGAGCAGAGGGGCTGTGGTGTGTGACACAGGGAAACCCACAACATCCCTTGCCCTGGGGCTGCTCTTCAGATGGTGCTGGTGCTGGCCCAGGGCACTACAAAGGATGTGAGCCCTCTGGCCACCTCCTGCCCCCAGCAGGGTGTCACTGAGTCAGGCTGGTGCTTGGCACCATGCATGGAGGACTGTGTGGGACTTTCTTAAAGACAAAATTTGTGCACTGACACAAGAAAATATCGGAATATTACAGTGTTAGGCTTCAACCACACAGAAATCTGGAAGTGAGGGAATTAGAGCTGCCTGCCTGGCTGGTAGCAGAGGCTTTGCACCTCTGTGCCTCCTTTGCTGCATCCAGGGAATGCTCAGTGTGTGCTGCCAGCTGGCAGCACCACAGCTCCCAGACACTTCCCACTGGGCTGTCCTTTTTGGCTCCTGTAAGAGACAGAGCTTGTGACCAAGTTCTTGAAGATTGTCAGTGCGTGTGCATGTCACGGCACAATTAAATTTGTCTAATGTACTCCATATGTGCTCCCTGCAGCACAATGTGGCTGGAGAGGGTGGGATGAAATGAGAAACCTCTGTCCTGTGTGGAAACGATCCTGCTCAAAGGGAGGTCAGGCAAGGTGACCTCCAGAGGTCCCTTCCAGCACGATTACCACGGGATCCCAAGGTTCCCAGGCCCTGCTCTGTGCCATGTGACAAGGCAGGATTCAGGACACGCAGAAAGCCCTGCACAGTGGCACCACAAAACGTGATGTTAAAGGCCAGTGTAGTTTCACAACAAACTCCTTTATGAAATGGGAGTAAATGGAGAACATGTGTCACAGATGTAGATTCACAGAGCAACATGACTGCTAAACATCCTGCTCTTAACCGTGGCTGGACCTGGGTGTACAACGGGGCTGCCTTTGCCATCTGCTCTGTGCTGCAGCTCCTGGGGAACTCTGGCTGTGAAGGGAGGGAACTGGGCAGCATTCCCCATATCCCCATTATTCCTCCCATTTCATCCCCCCAGCCACCAGTGCCGTGGCTCTCCCTGTCACTGATTGTGGGAAATAGTAAATATGCAATTAGCTAAAAAGTTTTTAAACGCTCTGTGACAAAGAAATCTTTGGCTGCTGCCATCTGTACGTAAGCTTTGGCCATCTTCCAATTGTCTCAACCATGTCGTGAGGCTGAAGCTCAAGGAACACACCCCAGCAGTCCCATCCTCTTTGTGAAAAGCCGAAAATAACCAATACCATCACAGCTGATGTCCTTGCTCTGTCCCCAGGTGCCCTTCTCCGGGCGGCGGATGCACCACACCTGCCCGTGCCTGCCGGGCCTGGCCTGCCTAAGGACTCCTCACAGCAGGTTCAGGTGTTTACCAGACTTCAGGAAAGAAGACGTCTTTTTTTAGCAGGAACTGTTCTGCACTAGAAAGAGCCGCTCAGTATTTTCGTTCCCTCGTTGTTGTGACAAAAAGAAAGGGTTGCTTGCCAGGGGAAACCCTTCCCCACACTTCCCTGCCTCACCAACATCCGCTGGAGATGAGACGCTGCTGTTGTGGCCAAGGTTTTCAGGAGGGACTCGCAGTGGAGGATGATTTCATTTTGGGGTAGCCAAACAACATTTACTAGAGCAAAACTCTTTCTGAGGGCAGGGGCTTGACTATTCCTGAACCATTTTGTGGGCTTCATGGTTCTTGTTTAACCCCAGAATGAAAAAATCCAAATTTATTGCCAGTTTTGGAAAAATTTGGCCACAGCTTTCCACTTTGGAATACCTGAATTGAACTGAGTTGGATTATTGCATAGTGTGAAGCATATGACAATTGCCAAAAGAACTGTACTTACATTGCATTTCGTATCTTTATTAATATAATTTTATTTGTAAGTTAGGCACACCTCTAGGGGACTTTGGAATACCTGAATTGAACTGAGAGTTGGATAACTGCATAGTGTGAAGCATATGACAATTGCCAAAAGAACTGTACTTACATTGCATTTCGTATCTTTATTAATATAATTTTATTTGTAAGTTAGGCACACCTCTAGGGTAAAGGTTTAACCAATAGATGTAGTTTTTACACTTTTAAAAAGTGGCACGTGGAAACAAAACATTTCAGTATTCAGAGCATTAAAAGATTTACTTATTTTAGTGTTCTAAGATGAGAAGTTGTTGTTACTTGAATTGGTGTAAAACTACCTGATCATCTCAAACTATGTATTAAGATGTAGTTTATATTAAAGCAAAAAGGAACCCTGAAGTTTATTGTAACAGGCTGCCTGACTTCTTGTATCTGTATCAAATTTGCTGTGCAAAAATTCTGTATCAGAATAATGGCAGTGTATGATTTGATTTATTTTAATATTATAACATTATTTTGTCATTGTGGTTTTTCATTTTTATTCAGTGTAATCTGTTATCCCATACTTGATTCACCCAAGCTAGCAGAGCTCCTTATGGATAGCTTAGCAAAAGATTATGTGCCTCTGGCTGCTTCTTGGGAAACTTGTAGTTTACAAGGCATGAATTCCTCAATGAAGCTGCAGTTTCAGAATTTGGAGGAATCTTGGTGTAAATAATACAAGAGGTTTTTCTTGGCTTTTCCCTAAAAGGACCAACTTTAGCCCAGCAAACATAAGATTTGTGGGTTTTCTATGAAACACTGTGTGACTTCATATTTACTTGTCAGTCCCCAGAGCTGGAATTCCAACAGTTTGTGTGAGATTCACATGTTTCTTGCTCTCAGACATGCAAACATATGCTGGAACTGGAAAAGTGAAGTCATTCATCTTTCAACAATCAGTGCTTTGCTGCTGGTGGAGATGGGGGGGTTGGAGAAGTGAGCACTGTGTCAAGGCCAGACCTGTAAAACTGACAGGAGAAACATCCCTGGGAGTTACCAGGTACCTTCTACTGGGCTCCACAACCTTTCTTGGGAGACAGAAAGAATAACTGGATTAGTTATTGCCAGATCTTCATGGATTCTGCATGTGTTAGGGAAATAAAAGTCTTGAGAGAGATTGTATCCTTCTGGCTGAAGACAGCCCATCCCCAGGGTACCCACTCCAGTGCCTCTGAATTTTGAATTTTGTCTCCCCCTTTGCAGTGGTGATACTGCAGCTGTGCAAGTGGTTATAGAAAAAAAAAAAAGAGGACTGAAGTGCCACTAAAGGGTAATTTTACATCTGGTTTGCATTAATGTGATCAGGTACAAAGTGCCTGTATTAGATCTGAGGTCTCAGAGGGGCTCAACACTAACCCAAAGGGCTGGTGAAAGGCTAAGTCATTTATTGAGTTCAAAGTGACATGCCAGCACTGCAGAAATTCCCACAACCTGGATTTAAAACCAACCCCCAAGCCTGGTTCTACCATTGTCACTAAATAGAGGGGCTCCCCAAACACCCTGTGCACCCCCAAAGGCTGGGTTTGCAGAGGAGGAGCACACTGGAAGCGTGAGCGTTGCTTTTCTCCCCATGTCTGTCCCCATGAAATAAGCTCAATATCATGGACTTCAATTTACACAAAATCAAGAAGAAAAATAGGAGCAGTCCAAAAGTGCCTGTGTCCCATCTCTTGCTCCATTTTTTAAAATCAGAGCATGATAAATGAACCATGGGAGGAAACAGTAGCCCTGCTCCTCATCTCCTGCTGGCCTAATTCACGAGTGCCTCCACTGAAGGCAGGAGCCCTGGTTTATGTCATTGTAAAAGAGTGGACAGTTGTACCTAAGGACTGCCTCAGACCTGCCAAATCCTAGGAGAGTTTATCAGACAAGAGCAGAGCAACTTCACAGTTGTAATTTGTGCCAATTAACTTGTGGGATGAAGCATTTATCTAGGTAATGAGAACAGCCCCAATTACACGGGTTCAAAGTTCACACCATCTATAGCAGGGGAAGTTCCTGTGTCCTGCAGACACTCCTGGACAGGGTATTTGGATTGTGCAGCTTTGAGAGATGCCTTATTCCATACTCATCCTTGAGGGGCTTCTCCACACCTTCCCTGCTGATGTAGGAGAGATAAAGGCAAAACCTCACTGTCCTACATCCCTACTATATTCACTTAGCAATAATTATTCCGATTCCCCTTTTAGTAATTTAATTTCCATTAATTGACACTCACAATGGAGGTTAGTTGATTTGAGAGAATCTTTCTGGAAAGAAGATTAAGCTTTTGCATCCCCATTATTTCCTAAACTCTGCCCTAATCAATTATCTTTTCTCCCATCCTAGGGGAGATTTCCTCTCCCAAGCACACCTGCAAAGGCCCTTTAATTTCTGTCTGCAGTGGAAGGGGCTGGGAGGGCACCCTTTACCTTTGCTTTACACCGATAATAGGCAAACCAGTGACCACAAATATTTCCAAATGTGAATGGCCCTGCAGCCCCTCTGCTTTTTCCTGGAGCCAGCTTTGAGGAGCACAGCAAATGACACAGGATGACCCACAGAAAAGGTGGCCAGCCTCAAGCCAATCTGCCACAAAAAGTTTTCTGCAGTGCCCTGTTATCTCAGGCCAGGGACAGCTTCCTCACCTGCCTTGAAGGGAGGAAGGGGACAGGCCCTTGCAGGAGAAATCAGATGAGAAAATAGAACAGAACTTGTGCAGCCCTGGAACCTCCTTGGTGCAGGGGAAAAGCCTCACTGCCCATACCCACAGCTTGTGAAGAGAGAGGCTGGTTTAAACACTTCCCTTTATTCACTGCACTTAGATCTGTGCCAACATGTGTTTTAACTTTATTAATATTGCAGTAATTTCATTATTAATAGAAACGTGTGCATTAATTTTTAATGTTATATGAATATTGATATTATAGATATGCTATAGAATAATGTTGATATCCCACCACACTGGAGGCATTTCCATGTTTATTGCCAGATTTTGGGTTAGCAGAGAGGCCTTGCAGGAAAGAGCACCATCACATATAATGAGTTGCTGCCTTAATTTGATTAGGTGCTTATCAGGAAAGGGCAAGCAAGGTGTTTGGGGTTTGAGGGTGCACAGCTGGCTGAGCCAGCACACACTTGTGAGCCTGGGGGAGTGCAGGGAAGGCTCTGCTGCTGAGCACCAGCCAGCCCAGCTGAAACTCAGCTTCATCTGCATCCTCCTGCCCACAATTCACCCCTGGAAAATTCTGCCAATTCAAAAAAACAGTGTTACAGAGGTGACACAAAAGTAAATTGTTCTGGTTGTGTGGCAAGGGGGGACTCAAATGTGAGTGGGTGCATGCAGAAGAGACAGGTCAAATACTGGTTTGACAGAACTAGTAACGAAAGGAGATGAACTGGCTGAAGGCCACCATGGTGTTTGGGAAGATAAAAGGGAATAATGCATACCTTTCTGGAGAACACTTCAAGGTAAGAAAAGTGATTATTGTTGGTACTGTTAGTTTGTAGCTGTGTGGGAAACTGTAGCCTTGTTGTGACCCCAAAGCTCCAGTGTGTGTTTGAAGATCATGTAACATTCCTTGTCAAGAGGGACTGAGCTCATTTTCTCCATCAGCACAATCCACCAAACCAAAAGATGACAGCAGCAAGTGTGACCCCAGACCAAGGTCCTTGCCAGTGCCTCCCCCTACCCCAACAGCTCTGGGATTTGTTGTTTCTGCACAGATGGATATTCAAAAGAAACAGAAGGTGCTAAGAATCCCTTGATTTATACAAGATGTCTCAGGATTTTGATCCTGACAATGTGTAATGTGTTTTCCAGAAGGAATTAGAAAATTGCAGGAAAAGAATAGACAGTGCAAATGCAAGAGGATTTTGGTAACAGCAAAATCAATGTGCCTTTCTCTGTTACATAGATATGAAATGGCAAACCAGCAGGGGTACAGTCATTAGACTGATCAATAATTCTGAGCACAGGAATGGAGATGAGTTTAATGCACATCAGCAAATCACCTGTGGTTTCTCAAGGAGAGTCTTGAGTGCAGGCAGACCTAGCCCAGTGCAGTAGGACACATTCCAAGGATTTGGCAGGGCAGCTTTCCCCATGTGGCATGTCTGCCTTGGAGGATGGTGGCAGCCTTTGGGTCACTCTGCCTGCTCATCAGGCCTGGGAAAGGCTGGATGGGAAAGGCTGAAGCTGAGCAATCCTGCTGCACTGAAGGGAGAAGGATGGATGGCAGCTTGTTCTGTGACAAGATGTACAATGCAGGGTGACAGCAAAGTGTGCAGGAGAGGAGGAAAGAGCAATGTAACCACAGAGGACAGGCGTAAACCCCCTTGTGGCAGGGGTTTCCCAAAAATCTGAGTGTGAGAAGCTTAGTGGGGCAGAAAACAAAGGCAAGCACAATGTCAAAAGGACAGAAAGTCTCCTCTGCAAAACCTGGGAAACTCTGTGTATATTAATTGTGTGCCAGGAGTTCCCAGAGCACCCAGACTGATGCTCCACCCCAAACACCTTGCTTCCCCTTTCCTAATAAGCATGTAATCAAATCAAGGCACCAGATATCAGCGAGTTACATGCATGTCCCTGTCCCCAGAAGTTCACAAATCTCCCAGACCACATACAGCAAGTTCCTGTG